GTGTGTGTGTGTGTGTGTGAGTGAGTGGGAGTGTGTGTGAGGGAGTGAGAGTGAGTGTGTGTGTGTGTGTGTGAGTGAGTGGGAGTGTGTGTGAGGGAGTGAGAGTGAGTGTGTGTGTGTGTGTGTGTGTGAGTGAGTGAGTGAGTGTGTGTTGAGACGTCTGCTGTTTATAGCACAGACCCTTTTTCTGTCAGTAAACATTGTGAGGTTTTTCTGTGGAGGAAGAAAGATTCCCAACTGCTTCACTAACGCTAGCTATGAAGCTTGTTTTTTAGCAATGACTGGAGAAAATCCAATTTTACCTGCACATGTAAGGTCACTCTCTGTCCGGGACCACGATTGTTATTTGAAAAGATTAACTTCAACGGACGAAACCAGATTGGCCGACCGACACGCTCACGATCTGACGAGATTAGCTCGAGTGTCGAGTAAAGAGAAACTCACCCGTGTCTCATGTAGTCATGAAGATTTCAGTTTCAGCACGCAACTATTTTACAGCTACATGAGAGTGAACTGGGCCAAAATACAAAACAAGTTAAACATTCAGTGTGATGGATATATTATTTGAAGATGAATGTATCATGTAACCAGTGTTTTGGTGTGACTAGTTACTAAGTAATTGGTTACTGTAATTTAATGACTTTTCCCTTGAAAAAGTAAAGTAAGGGATTACTCTTATTTTTTCTGTAGTTTAATTACAGTTACTTCTTATGTAAATGAACTTAATGCTGTGTATAGACTGTAGAACAATACAATGGTGGATTTAACATCAAAATTTAAAATCTAACCTTAAAATGCATGCTTTTTATGTACCCTTCTCACTTTAAATATATCCTCCTGACTACCAGCTATGGAGTTTTGTCCTCTGTAGAGGACATAATGTTTTAGTGATTTCTCTGAGACGTTACATGTCACAGTTGTAAGTCTGGAGTCCTGTACAGAGCACATTCTGGGCTTTTCAGAGATACTAAATGATTGGATGTTTCACCGTGAGCACTCCCTCTCCTTGCTCTTTAAAAATGGCTGACATTCATTTAGTGATCAAGTGTAACACCCTTATGGAAATATGATAATATTTTGTAATTATCATTTAAATCTGACTAATT